GTCAAAGGCTCATGAGCTGCACCACTGTAACCACCTAATAATGAGCTCCAATGAGGGCGGTAACCCTCCAAAATATGTAGGTAATAGGAGTAGGTGATGTGTAGAGTCCCACAAGGGGAAACCAACATCAAGGAGAGCTTCACCGTATAAGAAACGAGGAAGGGAGGCCCTGCCTTTAATCAATCTAAGGATAAAAAGGGATATGCAAACAAAAAGTATAACTTGAAAAAAAGGGAGATCTACTAAACGGTGCCCAGGGGATCAACTGTCTGGAGTACTAGCTAGCATCTAAGCGTTAGATCCACTTTTCAGAAAACACTTAATGCCCCACCAGCATACATAGACTTTATTTCTGATATCCTTAAATTTATCTTAACAAAGAATGTCTTTTTATTTAATGGTAAAGTATACCAACAAGTTAGGGGTATTGCCATGGGGACTTCATGCACATCCTCCTATGCCAACATATACTTGGGCACCTGGGAGACACACATTGAAATGGACCAGACTTTATCGATCTATCGTGATAAAATTTAATTTTGGAAAAGATACATCGATGATGTCTTTGTTATTTGGCTGGGATCTTCAAATGAGTTCATGATGATTGTAACTCTCTTAAACACTAATGAATTCAACTTAAAATTCACAATCGAAGTGGGGGGCAGGAATCTTAACTTCCTAGACCTTACTGTTTCCATACAAACAAGTGGATACATTTCAACCACCCTGTACCGAAAACAAACAGCCTGTAATGGCCTTCTAAATTGGACTAGCCACCACCCACCAAAACTGAAGGCCAGAATCCCTGTCGGCCAATATCTGCGCTTACGTAGAAATTGCTCTTTCCTAGATGACTTTAAAATCAAGGCCTGGGATCTCCGGAAATCTTTTAGGGAAAAAGTTTATCTAAAAAGGGCTTATGCCAGAGCAATTAATGCCAACAGAGATACCCTACTCAGCGATCACATAAGGGACACAGGACCTTCCACGATTCGATGCCTAGCATCGCATGATGCAGGCTGGTCTAACATGATGAATACGTTAAAAGATTTTGGCCAATACTCACTTCGGATCCCCATATTAAGAAGGTTATAACACCATTCCCCTCAGTGACAGCAGGCAGGGGCAGAAATCTGAAAGACATGCTAGTCCCTAGCTATTTGGCCCCCCTTATATAAACCCCTCAAACAATATCTACCCAGGGGTACATACAATGGTGGCCACTGTAGTGCATGTCCCCATATTGCTAAACAGACCAAGTTTTTCACAGACAGCAGTGAAAGTGAGGAATTTTTAGCAAAATCTTTCTTTAACTGCCGTACCGAAGGGCTAGTGTACCTCCTGTTATGTTCATGTGGTTTGAAATACGTAGGCAAAACGTTTCGCCCCTTCAAGCTTCGCATAAGAGAACACGTTAATTCCGTAAGGAGACCATTAGAGACACCAATTTCACGACATCTAAAAACTCACCATTCTAATTCTGCTACTAAAATTAGATTCATGGGTATTGAATCAGTCCCCCAACCTCCACGTAAAGGAAATTGGGACCGAAAACTACGGCAGAGAGAATCGTATTGGACTTACAAACTAAAAACGTTATCCCCAGCAGGGTTAAATGAGGGATTCTCTTTTTTAGCTTTTTTGTAATACTCTCTCTATTGAGGGGACTTAACCAACACTGAGGAACTCTTCCTTTCTAAGCTCCCTACCATACTATTTGTAAATTTGTAGATATGTAAATATGACACTTTTTAATATGAACATTAACGGCCACTTTATTTTCACCGTGTTCATTTTGCCTTTCGAGCCAAGATACTGTCTGCCTTATTTTATACATCCTGATGGGGGTTTACTTCCCCTGATTGGATGTTTATTTCTATATGTTTACAGGCATTAAAAAAGAAAAGAAGGAGTAGTATACCCGTTATTAGGTACTGGAAACTTGATGAGCGTAGCGCACGGAAGACTGATCATACAGTTCAGAAAACAAAAAACAATTTATTAAGTAAATATTAAAAATTGCCAACCAAAAATGAGGCAATCACCCAAGTGTAACACACAAAATAAATACAGTGTGAAAATACATAAATAGAAAGAAATGCTAAAATCATTGAGATTGGCTTGATAACAGCAGATTAGAGAGGTTCTAGTATTGCACTTGCTAGGTTTACCGTTATAGCACACGTCTGTGCTATACAGGAATATGTGTTAACCATATGATATAAGTAGGAGAGGGATGGGACCTGAATATGAAAAACTGCCTTAAGTATAGAGAGCCTATATATAAGATTAGAGCAGACTAATTAAATAGAATTATAGCTAACTAATTATAGCTTGTTCGTCAGAGGTTGGTTTAGTGTTAGGTTAACTGTATACACATCTACCAATAGGCTGAGGGAGCCCCTAAAGTGTCACATAAAGAGAAAATATATATATTTAGGGTTTCGTTGTAGAAAAATGCACAATGTGCTATGAAGGGGCACCTACAGCTCACCTCCTTGGCAAAAATGATAATTGTAGGAGGAAGAAGAGAAAAAAACAGATTGTAAGAAAAAAGATAAAAAGTACATCAGGTACACGGACTAAATAGCTCACCCGTGCCTTCAAGGGCACCTACATCCAACCCCCCTCA